CAGGGTTGATGAGATTCAGCCAAAAACATTCTCCATAAGAAGGAGAGGTTGTTGTTCTACCACTGGGCCAGCTGGAACATGGCCTGGGAGGTCATGGCTATGCAGCTTGTCCCTTCAGTCACAACCCCCCACCCCCACCCCGGACCCCAGAGCTGCAGTGGAGGGAGAAGCCAGAAGACATTTGAACCCTGACACATGTCAATTCAGCAATATCATGGCAGTGGGAACTGAGGGGAGACAGGAACATGGTAACAGCATCTGGCAATGGAGAGGAACAAGTTGAGATAAGATAGACTCCAACTTATCTAACTAAAAATTGGCACTTGGTGAAATGTGGTCTTCTTCTGAATCCTGTCTCACAAACACATCTGCAACTCTGCTGGCGTAGTGGGGCCTCATATCTGCTTCCCATTCCTCTAGTGCCTCCCGCAACATCTCCATTTCCCCCAACCTCCTTGGCCGTTCTCCTTCCAACACTCTGTGGCTCCCCAGACCTGGACAGCTGGGAGCCAAGGGTAATAAAGAAGGGAGGCCACACCCCCCAGATCAAGAATCATAATTGCATAAAGAAACGGAAGTCAACAGAGTGGGCTCCAGACCCTGTAGCTGGAGACCTGGAGACTTACCAGTTGCTCAGGCGGTGGTCAGCTCTCCCTGGGGTCCAGCAGCTTTGGAGGACTGAGCTGCTGTGACCGGAGAACATGAGCTGGGCAGGCGTGGGGGCAGCACTGGCAGTGGGGGAGGGAGGGTGTTTATTAATAGAGATGATGAGTGCAGGCAGCTCAAATGGCACAGGGGGCACTGAGACCCTGGAACCAGGATCCTGCCCTCCCTGCCCAGAGGCTCAGGAAAGGAGGAAAGGCCTTTGGGATTCTCCCCTAGAGCTGTCTGAGCCAGGGTTCAGACTGTCCAGGGACTCCCTTTCTCTTTGCCCTGGAGTCTGAGATCCAAAAACACCTTCCGGGAGAAACTGAAGACTAAGAGGGAGAGAGGAAGCAGGCAGCAAGTGGCGGATAGGAATTCAGAGTGCAAGAGAGACAGAACCTAGAGAACATGCTCTGATGGCCACTGGGAGCCAATCCAGGTCTGAGCCAGAGGGACCTGTGGGTGTACTGGGGAATGGGAGGGTTTAAGGCACTATGTCTGATAAGGAGTCTTCACAACAGAACCGCTCTTTTAAAGTTCCTGGATTGCTTGGTCTTTCTCTGTGAGATTGGATCTTGGCAGGATCAGAGACAAAATTAACCAAACTCGGTGCTTTCTACGCAGCCAGGGGTGATGTGGGGAAGACTTGTCCAGTAATTCTTGTCTGCTTTACTTTATTTCTTTCTTTCCTCTTAAACTCTGGCAGGTTTAAGAACAAGTGAACATGCAGATCTTCCTTTATTTATTTATTTATTTATTTAAAAGATTTATTTATTTATTTGAAAGGCAGAATTACAGAGAGGCAGAGACAGAGAGAGGTCTTCCATCTGCTAGTTTGCTCCCCAAATGGCTGCAGTTGCCAGAGCTGGGCAGATCCGAAACCAGGAGCCTCCTCTGGGTCTCCCACATGGGTGCAGGAGCCCAAGGGGCCCAAGGGCTTGGGCCATCTTCCACTGCTTTCTCAGGCCATAGCAGAGAACTAGATTGGAAGTGGAGAAGCCAGGACACAAACCGGCACCCATATGGGATGCCAGCACTTGAAGCGGTGGCTTTAACTGCTATGTACAGCGCTGGCCCCACTGATCTTTCTTTAACAGTCATTTGCTGTTGGAGTACTCAGTTCAGCCTGCTATGCATATGCAGGATAGATATAATAAAAGCACATTTAGGCTCTCTGAGGTTCCTACTTGAGATTTTCTTCAAATGGGATCTGGGCCATCCCATTCACACTGTTTGAAAGGAACCTCTAGGTAGGAGCACAGTGTTGAAAGTCCCCTTGGGAGAAGTCTATCATTTGCCTAACCCCTTGCTCAGTAAGTGCATGAACAGGCTGGATCTTCCTCCACCTCCTGCTCAGGTTCTGGAACCAGCTCTGCTGTTCATCTGCTGCAGCCACCACCACCCCAGTGCAGCTGCCTTAGGAATTGGCTTTTAACAGTTTCCAGAATACCCATTGTCCCTGTGTGAGCTCACTATTCTTCCTATCTATGCCCGTCTCCTGTGTCCTGTTCATAGGAAGACTAGCGGCTGAAAGCTACCCCACCTCCAGCTGGCCTCTGCCCAGACCCATTATGTCTATAGACCCCTCATCTTTTGTCCTCCTTCTCCATTTCCTCTCAATCTAAGGGAGCAATTAGAAGGGAAAAAAAGGGCAGGGGTATGGCGCTGTGGCACAGCAGGTAAAGCCGCTGCCCGCAGTGCCAGCATCCCAACTTTGGCGCTAGTTCAAGTCCCAGCTGTTTCACTTCTGATCCAGCTCTCTGGTATGGCCTGGGAAAGCAGTAGAAAACGGCCCAATTCATTGGGACCCTGCACCTATGTGGGAGACTTGGAAGAAGCACCCTGGCTCCTGGCTTCAGATCAGCCCAGCTCCAACCATTGTAGCCATTTGGGGAGTAAACCACCAGATGGGAGACTTCTCTCTCTCGCTGTGCCTCTGCCTCTGTATCTGTCTGCCTTTCAAATAATTAAAAGAAAAAAAAGGGAGCTGGCATTTAGCCTAGTGGTTAAGATGCTCACATCCCACATTGGAGTCCCTGAGTTTCAAACCTGCCTCTGGCTCTAGACTCCAGTTCCTGCTAATGCAGCTCTTGGGAGGAAGCAGTGATGACTCAAGTAATTGGGTTCCTGAATTGTGTTCCCTGTTCCTTGCATTGCCCCACCCCACCCCAGACTTTGTAGTCATTTGAGGAGTGGATCAGACAATGGTGATTCTCTCTCTCTCTGTCTCTCACTCTCTGCTTCTCAGATATTTAAATTTTTTAAAAAAATTTTTGGAAGATTTATTTATTTATTTGAAAGTCAGAGTTACACACACAGAGAGAGAGAGAGAGAGAGAGAGAGAGGTCTTCCATCTGATGGTTCACTCCCCAATTGGCCACCATGGCCGGAGCTGCACCAATCTGAAGCCAGGAGCCAGGAGCTTCTTCTGGGTCTCCCACATGGGTGCAGCAGAGAGCTCAAACTGAAGAAGAGCACCTGGGACTAGAACCGGCACCCATATGGGATGCTGGTGCTTCAGGTCAGGCGTTAACCTGCTGCACAACAGCGCCGTGCCCCTAAATTTTTTTTTAAACAGCAGAAGGTGATTGCATCATCACTCTCACCCTCTCCTCAAAAATGCACTGAAGGTTGGATCTACTGTGAATGAGTATGTAAAACTACTGAGTGGGTTAATATAGGCTATTTTATTTAGCAAATGGTCTCTGGGCCCTTTTGGAATTCTCAGAAATTGTACTTGGGATTATATGGGTCCTGGATCTGGTTATTCGCACAAATGTGCCCTCTGCTGGTAAAGTGGAAGCATTGGCACTTTTCTCCCTCCAACCCAGGTTTTTTTGTTTGTTTGTTTGTTTGTTTGTAATTAACATTTATTTACTTAGGCCGGCGCCGCGGCTCACTAGGCTAATCCTCCGCCTTGCAGCACCGGCACACCGGGTTCTAGTCCCGGTCGGGGCGCCAGATTCTGTCCCGGTTGCCCCTCTTCCAGGCCAGCCCTCTGCTGTGGCCCGGGAGTGCAGTGGAGGATGGCCCAGGTGCTTGGGCCCTGCACCTCATGGGAGACCAGGAAAAGCACCTGGCTCCTGGCTCCTGCCATCGGATCAGCGCGGTGCGCCAGCCGCAGCGCGCCGGCCGCGGCGGCCATTGGAGGGTGAACTAACGGCAAAAGGAAGACCTTTCTCTCTGTCTCTCTCTCTCTCACTGTCCACTCTGCCTGTCAAAAAAAAAAAAAAAATTAAAAAAAAAAAAAAAGATTTATTTACTTAAAAGGCAGTTACAGGCCGGCGCCGCGGCGCACTAGGCTAATCCTCCGCCTAGCGGCGCCGGCACACCGGGTTCTAGTCCCGGTTGGGGCGCCGGATTCTGTCCCAGTTGCCCCTCTTCCAGGCCAGCTCTCTGCTGTGGCCCAGGAGCAGTGGAGGATGGCCCAGGTGCTTGGGCCCTGCACCTCATGGGAGACCAGGAAAAGCACCTGGCTCCTGGCTCCTGCCATCGGATCAGCGTGGTGCGCCGGCCGCAGCGCGCCGGCCGCGCCGGCCATTGGAGGGTGAACCAACGGCAAAAGGAAGACCTTTCTCTCTCTCTCTCTCTCTCTCTCTCACTGTCCACTCTGCCTGTCAAAAAAAAAAAAAAAAAAAAAAAAAAGGCAGTTACAGAGAAAGAGGCAGAGACAGAAAGCAGAAAGAGAGGTCTTCCATCTGCTGATTCACTTCCCAAATGGCTGCAATGGCTGGGGCTGGAATCCCGGAGCCTGGAATTCCATTTGAGTCTCCCATATCTGGGTCTCCCCTATGGGTGCAGAGATTGGAAACTGAGCAGCCAAGACTCTAACCAGCATGCAGAGACCTCCCCTCTCCAAAGTCAAATTCTAACCAGCCTCCAGCTTTCCCTTCATTAGTCTCAATCCATGCTGATACATCTCACTCTCCTTTCCTCCCCACCCTTCCTTTCCTATTCCACCTTTACCTCCAGTCATTGTTCTCCCTCCATTTAGTTCTCAAAGACTGTTTAACATGACTGCTCCCTCCAGGGAACTAGGAAATGTTGAGTTCAGAGAGACTTTCCAACTTCTCTTAGTCTGTAAACAGAGAACTTGCCTGAAAAGCATGGAGGAGGGGAAGAAAACAAGGAGAACCTGAGGGGGGTGGGGCAAGAGCCATGGTGGAGGTGACTAAATAGGAATGAGACAAAATGAGTGGAGAAGAGCAAAAGACCTAGGAAGGAAAGGCAACAGGGTGGAAAATGGGAGAGCAGAAATGGAGATCGAGCTCAGGAATCAGATCCAGGGAATGGGTTAGAGAAGATCAGGGGGCACTCAGGATCTCATTATAAAACTAGAAGAGATGACAGCAACAGACAGTATGGAGCATACATTTATTGTTGTGCACAAACCAAAGTACTGTGACTCACACCCAATATGCAAAGGAAATTATCACCGTCCATATCAAACAGCAAATGTGGCTGGTGATTATCTTGGTGAGAGGAGAGTCCATACCCCTCTGGGATTAGAGATCAGGCCCTGAAGCTAAAAATGAACAAGAGCTGGATTTTGAGAGATGAGATAGGACTGAAAGCAGGTTTGGGCTCTGGGTGTTTCCCTGTCCTTTCCCAGGTAGTCATGAGATGCTGCAAGAGACAAACTTAAGGATAGACTCAGAGGAGGTAGCACAGACTCTGTTCTTTCAACACTCAGCACACACTCCCATGCCTCCCCCCATCATCCCCCTTCACTCCAACAAATACATTCGTCCCCCTCTCGCACACAAGTGATTTCTTGTTACTCAACTTTACTCTGCCAGCTGCACGCTCCCTCACCATGATCCCCTCTGTGGATCTGTCACTTCTACTCATGTCTGCTCTGCTCCTGGTTTCTACCACACACCCTGGTTCCGTTGCTCTCCTTTCTGTCTCAGGCTCATGAGGCCAGCCATGAAGCCAATGATTTATTCATTCTCAGAGGAAATTTCCTTTCTTTTTTTCACTTCTTGGATTCTGGGTTGCTCAGCACAGGCCTCTCCAGTTGCTTACTCTAAATGCAGCAGAATAGATGAATTCTTGTTCTCTTTCTGGTCTAGCTGGTTTAACAGGCCATACAAACTGTCCTGGCCCTTCAGTCTTCTCATACTCCATTAGTTTCACGAGATGCTGTATCCTTGCTACAGATGCTTGTCTTTAAGGACTTACTCTCTAGTGAAACTCTTTCTCCCCACTAGATTCCACGTGGGAATATCTGACTCTTTATCACCCAAGAAGAAAATCCAATTGGGTATTTAGACTTCCCTTTTACTCTTGCCCCAGACAGCAGAGCACATCCGTGCACACACACTCACAAACTTGCACACATATATGCATACACACCTAGTTATATGCCAACCAAGCTTGGAAAAGCACAGTAAGGCATAGCTCAGTGTAAACGGGTCAGCTCAGTCTCATTGCTGTATGCCTGGTGGTGAGCTGCTTGACTGAGGTCCCGGGGATAACTTCTACTCTGTGTGCTTCTTATTGAATAATAAAATGAGGCCAGAGAGAAAGACAGAAATGCAAAGAAACAGAAACCTGTGGAGGAGTATGGGTGGAGAGGTGGGAGATAAAGACAGAGATGCAGGCCAGGAAACAGAGACGAAGAGATGCAAAGAAACTAAGTAGAGATAATAGGTTGAAAAGCAGAGCAGTGAGGAGGAAGCTGGGGATGGGATTCCAACTCTAAAACTATCTTTGGCAGGACGAGATTCACCCTCCAGATGACTGGGCAACGGCGTGGGAAAGGGCAGGAGAAGCAACTTTAGGAACTCGATGTTCTACCTCTCCTTGGTCCTGGGACTTATGCCCTGCTCACTGGTGCCCTGCCCCAGGCCTCCACACATGAGCCTGCAATCCTGTTCTGGTGGCTGAGAATCGAGGCCTGGCTACTTGGAAACCATAGGAGCTGGGGGAAGTCCCAAGGCCTCTAGGAGACTCTGGAGGAACAACTGGGCTAGGAACAGGGGTTGAGGACAGCTCTGCCCTCCAGATGGGCTCATCCAGTGTAGTGGCTGCTCGTGGGGCAAGCACCGTAGGGGCCAGGGGCTCTGCAGTGGGCTGGGGTGCTGGAGTAGAAAATCGGCGGATCTCCTGGACTCGAGCTGTTTTGGGGGGCCCTAAGGAGGTGGGACCGGGGGTTGGGGGAACCTCATCAAAACAGAACATGGCAGTTTTAAGTTGGTAGGGCTGATGCCGCATGAAATCCAGAGCCTTGATGCCCTGCTTGGGGGTTGCCCGGGGCCCCTGGGACTGGGCCTTACTAGGGGGAGTTCGGGCAGCCTGCGGGAAAAAGGGTGAGAGCAGTGGATTGTAAGCAATAGGAGGTGGGGCACGGATGTTAGGTGAATATTTCCAGGAAGGGGGTAGGGAGGGGGTGGGAGAAGGACTTCTAGGCTTAGGGCCCAGGCCAAGGCCAGGACCAAGGCCAGGACCAGGTGTAGCTTCCACCACATACCTGTCCGCCCGACTCTGCCTCTTGGCAAACAGCTCCCCACCCCTGCCCTGCAGCCTTGGTGGCTCTGAGATTCCAGCCGAAGGGGCTGCCCCATTTACTAGCCCATCAAGGAGCCCCCGGGATGAGGGCTTAGGCGCCACTGGGGGTGGAGTCTTAGGAGTCATAGGGGGTGGAGTCTTGGGAGCCATTGGAGGCGGGGTCTTAGGTGCAGGCAAGGTCTTGTAACTCCTGCCCCCTGGTGGCTGCATGAAGTTGCAAGCTTCAGCGCCGAGGCTCAGAGCGTCTTCTTCTGGACCTGATTCAGCACCCCCGGCCCGGGGTTTCTCATCCAGATTCTGCACCAGCGAGAGAAGCTCGGGGTTGGGCGAGTTCTTCGTCTCCTCCTTTCCCTGCCGGAACATCTGCTTCCGCGTCCCGCGGCGCCGGGCCTCCTGCAGGATGCCGGTTCGGGCAGCTGGCACAGAGATGCGCTGCTCCCTGGTGCTGGGGGCCTCGGGGACCGCAGAGCCTGTGGTCGGCGCCTCTGGACGCGCAGAGGGTCGCAGAGGCGCCGACAGGAAGATAGAAGCGGTGGAGGTCATGGCAGCTGCGCTAGGGGGAGCCGGGGACTCCGGGGCTCCGCCTGGGGTAACGGGCCGACTGGGGGCTGGGATGTATAGGGAGCTGGTGGCTGTCACAGGGCCCGAGGAGCGTGGGGCGCTGGGGGAACCGGAGGCTGGCACATGGCTGGGACCCCCTATGGTGAAGCTGGGTAGCGGGGTGGGCCCCTGCGAAGAGGATATGAAGGGGGGTGGGGCAGGGCTCGGGCCTCCCACACTTTCACTCGCCCTCTTCGGTGCTAGGGGACGGAAAATGACCGAAGTGGTACCAGGCCGCTGACCTTGTAAGCCCGGGGTAAAGGGCCTGGCTGACCGGTTAAAGACACTTGCGGCTGGGGTGGAGGTGCTACCACCTGGGAGGAAGGGTCTGGGGCTGGTTGTGGGGGCCAGCAGAGGGCTGGGTGGGAGCACAGCTGCCTCTGGGGGAGCGCTCTGGGCCCGAGGTGGTGACTGCGGACCCTGCCCGTTGAGCACGGCTGCTGGGCCAATGTGAGTCAACTCCTGGGTGTTGGAGTCTGCGCGCTGGCGCTGCTGTTCAAAGAGCTGGACCCCTCTCCCAGAGACCTCACTCAGCCCGGGGCTCTGGCCCTCTGCCGTGCTGGAACCCACCCTGGCCAGTTCCATGTCCAGATAAGGGCTGTCCCAGTCCGACTGATTGGTGAGACTGCGGGCGTCGGAGAAGGCCTCTTCGTCCAACTCAGACTCACTGGTCGGGGGGACCCCGTCCTCCTCCTCGTTACCGGTCCCAGCCGCAGCCCCAAAGCTCACTAGGGTGTATTTCTTGGCTCTCTGCCGCCGTTTCTTAAACATAAGCACCCCCTTGGAGTGGGGGTTGGGGGCTGCAGTTAGCAGGGATGCAATTGTCCGGCATTTGGTCTTGGCTTCCTTCACACTCTTCTCCTGGAGGCTCTCTGCCCGTTGCAGTTCTGAGGAGGTCAAGAGGTAGAAGGGTCAGTGGGGCTTTGCCAGCGTCTTCTAAGCTTATTCCCCAAAGCTTGAACCCACACCCAGCCAGCTTGTTCACACCTCCCACCTCCTGTCTTTTCATTTGCAGCACCCACAATGTCTTCTACCTGTGGCAAAGGCTTCTGGCTTGGGGGCAGAGTGGAGGGTGAAAGGTGAAACCAAGGGCAGTTCGAGGGAGGCAGAATCCAGCTCGCTGCCCTGGCACTGCTCTGACCACAGCTCTTCTGTCCTTTCCTCCCTCTACTCCACACTTATCTTCCCAGAGATGTGCTCTTATCCACCTAACACTGCATTCCTCACCTGCTTCCCATTCCACACTGGCAAAGGGTCAGGGGGAGGTGTTGCTCCCCATAGTAGGCAGGGAGACAAAGCAGTTCCCAGGGAGAGAAGACAAGAAGGGACACTTTTCTCCCACCATAGAGACCATGTCAAGAACCTTCTCACAAAGTTTGGAATATAGCCCCTTCTTACATTCCTTATCTCTACGATAAGCACACAAAGGACCCTTTGCAATGTGTATCTTATTCACTATTCCACCCCATCAGGCAGTTCACATCATTACTATTCATAGCAATAACTCCCATCACATCATTTAACAAGCCTGTCAGTCCAGTGAAAGCCAGCTGTGGGCATACTTTCTCTGATGTACTTTTCTCTGCCACTCACATATACCCTTACTTATACCACAGTTCACATACATTTATGTAAATACACATGGTCCATGCAAAACCACATTGAGTCATTCAAATGCATTCACACACCTATGTGTGTCAGGTGACCCTTCTTCCCAGAGTTTCCCCTACAGAGATTCCATTACTAACAGTTTGGACAGAATTTCAGGGTTGAACTTGGCCTTCCAACTGCCAGAGCACACCTCTGTGCTTCACATTCCTGCTGCTCACAGCCAAGGGTAGTCTCTGATCCAAGACACAGGACAAAACCAGGGTGCTACTCTCCAAGACAAGCCTCCAGATCTTTAGCATACCTCAAGGTCGCAGGCTAAATAGCTTCTCCTTTTCCCCAGCTGGAGATGGGAAGTGTAGTAGGCTTCTTTGGGGGTCAGAGCTGCCTCCTATTTTCCAACCTTCTATGTAGAGAACTCAGACAGCCACTACCAGGGAGGCACGCAAGGACTGTGTGCTAAAGAGAACTAGGGCAGGGCTTCCTGTGCCATGTGGGGCCTGGGTAGGTGGGGCCAGAAAATGGGAGAGGCTGCCCTGCTACTAGGACCCCACCCTGAACATGGATATTTTCTGGTCCATTGTCCCCAGTTCATCCTGCAACATCTGTCTACTTTCCATTCAAGACACCAAGCTCCTTTTTTTTTTTTTTTTAATTTAACAGGTAGAGTTATAGACAGTGAGAGAGAGACAGAGAGAAAGGTCTTCCTTCCGTTGGTTCACTCCCCAAATGGCTGCTATGGCCGGCACTACGCTGATCCAAAGCCAGGAGCCAGGTGCCTCTTCCTGGTCTCCCATGAAGGTGCAGGGGCCCAAGCACCTGGGCCATCCTCCACTGCCCTCCTGTGCCACAGCAGAGAGCTAGACTGGAAGAGGAGCAACGGGGACTAGAACCCGGCACCCATATGGGATGCCGGTGCCACAAGGCGGAGGATTAGCCAAGTGAGCCACAGCGCCGGCCCTACCAAGCTCCTTTCTAACAAGGACTCACTCCTCTCATCCCAACATGTCTAATAGAACAGTGCTGTGGATGAGAGAATGGGCACTGCGGTCAGAGTTCAGTCCAGGTTTTTGGGTCTTGGAAGAGTTGCTTCATTGAAGTTCAGTTTCCTCATCTGTAAATAAGGATGATAATAGCTACCTCATAGGACTACTATGAGAATAATGTGAGATAATTTGGTAAATTTAGCATATAACTCACCACTAAGGCCCAAAGTGAGTAAATATTAGTATCAAAGCTTTCTTGATGCTAGCTGCACACGTACACAGACATTTTTTCATTTGCACATATCTTCTCCCATGGACTCATATATTCATAACATACTCACACCTCTCTCTCACACACACACGTGGACATTCCATTCCCATGAGTTTGTTCAGGTCATGTCAAAAACCCTATGACATGTGGCCATAGCATCAACCTATTCCAATCAAGGGGCAGTGAAACTCCCAAGAAAAGGAGGAAGAGGACAACAAAAAGGATGAGGGGACAAGAGAGTAAGACCTTGCCCAAAGACTACTCTTCCCAAACTATTAATATATTCCCTTCCATTGTAGACCCCGGAACTCTCTCAGATATGGGAGGATAGTACCTGCATAGAATGGGTCTTGGAGCTCAGGAATTGGACTTGGGCCTTTGTTGAAGCTGGCTTGGCTGATGGGCTCAAAGGTGTCCATGCTGAGAATGGCAGTGTTGCTTGGAGCAAGACCAGCTTGAGCCACCCCCCACGCCTTTTAAAACCCCTTTGTCTCATCCCCAGAACTGGCAGCTGTGTGAGCTCACTGTGCTATTTTTGGAGCCTGGCCCCTTCCCTTCTTTTGACTGCCCTACAAGCCCCGGTGTGATGGACGTAGCCACCTGCCTTCCCTTCACCCCACCCTGCCCCACTGGACAATGAGGTCTACTTGTCTAAAAATATCCCTGAGCTGCTAGCTACAGTCGCGCCCAGCATGATGGGAAAGGGAGGGGGTGTTGGAATGAGAATTGGGGATAAGTTTGGAATCCTGCCCATGCATCTGGAATTTCTTTGTTGGATACTGGCAATCTCAGGGATGTCGAACTGAACCGTCATATCCTTAGGCTCTATGCTGGACTTAAAGACACACAATCCCATGGATTCAGAATCAGAAGAGTGGAGGGGAAGAAATAAAGATGAGGACTAGAGGAGAATCCTGGTATTTCAGGGAGTGATAAAAAAAAAAAAAAGTCTTAGTGGGAGGGGGATGAGAGGCTTAGAGCAGGGAGAAAGTTCACTCTTAAATCTCATTCTGTAGCTCACATCAAAAATAGCAAAGAGCCTTAGATAGTGGAACTGGCTTTTTCTGCCCAGGCCTACATTCTTGCCCAAGATAAGGAGCCAAAGATCCCTCCCTTCACCACTTCCTAGAGATCTCATGACCATCCCATAGCTTCCCAGTCCCTAGGAATCCTAGCTGAACTTATAAATGTCAAAGGTAGCTCTGATGCTATGCCTGTAATTAGCACTGTGACGAGCCCCTATAGAATGGCCCCACTTCCAAAGCCTCCCCCGCCCTGCATCTGTACTCTGCCCTCAGCCCTTCCTGACACCTATAGCAGCCACCACCACCACCAAACACTTCCTCTATTCACGTTACTTTCCACTTCCCCTACTTACCCCATTCCTGGGTTGCATTCAACCACCTGGACCTTTTTGCCTCACTGGATCAAACAGCAAAAATAATGGGGATCATGAGAATAATTATTCCCCCCCAACTCATCTCTCTTCATTTGTCACCAAGACTATACCCAAGGGGGATAATGTAGGTAGAAATTAAGGTTATGGAAGAATAGATTTAGGGCTCAGATTGAAGGATCCTGACTTGGAAAAAGGGGTTCAGACACTTACTGGCTTGCTTGGCCTTCTGGGTGTAGGTGGTAGTAAGATCTTCTGCCACTGGATGAGGAACAGGCCCCACCATAGGGATGAGGTGAGGACCAGGCCGGAGGGGACCATGGGGTAATAGTAGGGCTTCAGCTGGGGGTGGCTGAAGGGCTGCCCCATCCTCCCAAGATGGGGAGCTCACGCGGCTGTCACCCTGGCTAGAAGGCTTGGGGATGGCAGCTGCAGGCTCTGCAGGGCTGTCAGACAGGTAAACTTCATCAGGTGGGGCTCCCGGAGGAGTGGGCCTTGTGGGACCTCGGCGGCGGGGGCGGCGGTGCTTCTCTTGGGTGGCAGGGCCATCAGCATCACTGTCTGTCTCTCCATAGTAAGCCTCACTGTCAGGAGGTGAGCGAAGGCTCCCAGGCTGAAGAGGCTGGGAAACTGGAGCACCAGGGGGCTCAGGACTCAGTGGAGATAAAGGTGACAGCACTTGAAGCTCACCAGGGGATGGAGATCGCACAGGCCCCAAATCTGCTGCCCTGGATGGAAGAGATGACAGAACGTGAGGGCTGTGCTGCATGACTGACAGCTAGAGATACCTGCAGGAGATGAGGGGAAAAGGTAAGGGAGTGGACGAGGGCTGGCATACAGTGGGAATGGGTGGGCTAAGAAGAGTGAAGATCAGAAAAGACAAAGTGGGAGGCAAATGTGCTTGGAGGAATGTGAGCGGAAATGAGCTTAAAGGAAGACGTGATGAGGAGGAGACAGGCCAGGGGTTGAAGTAGGCCCAACACCCAAATATCCATTTGGCACTCCCATCTTTTAACTGCAGATACATTTGAAGCCTTTGGGAGGCATACACAAATGTCTGTGCTCCTGCAGAAATGCCCAAGCATAAGTAGGTACTTGTTATTTGCTGAAGCCAAGCCGGTGAGACACAGAGCTGAGACAGGCAGTGGGAGCCTTGGACCAGAGGAAGAGTCCATACCGTCGCACAGTGAGGATAAGTTGATTCCCTGAGGTATCGATAAGATTCATGGCACTGGCATGAGAGAGGCTGGTACAAGAGATCCCATTGACTGCCAAGAGCTGGTCCTTCTCACGGAGTCCTGCTCTGCCAGCCTGGCTCCGTCTTCGGATCTGAGATGTTGAAGAAGAGATTGTAGGTAAGAGAAGATTCCAAAGGGAATAGGATGAAAAGACAGGAAGGACCCAAATGAGAGGATTTTCAGGGTAAGAAGGGGGACAGCTGCTAGCCTGCCATTGAGGAGGCTTGTCTAGAACAAAGAAGGTGCAAACTGAAGAGAGTACTACAAACAAGAGAGTACTACTGGGAGCTAGGATAATCACTGAATGAAAGAGGCCTGGAGACCGCTGCATGAGAGAGGTGTTAGAAATTACAGTTATATCCTTAAGATTTTCCTCCAGGAGCAATATCTATACCAGCCAGTAATTCTCTTCTAGGCCTTGGAATTCCAGGTGCTATTATACAGTCAAGATCTAAGAGCAGCATACCGGATCAAAAGGAGTCCAGCTGGATTCTGGGAGATCATGATTGTGTGTGTATGGGGGGGGGGCATGTGTGCACACACATGGCTACCATTTATTGAGTTAGGCACTGTGCTACAGATGTTATGCATTTCATCCTTAGAAGATTCTATGAAGTAGATACTATTATTACCCACATTTTACAGTTCAGAAAATTAAGCCTGTAGGGTGAAACCAAGAAGGTAATGACTTCATCTGAGAGGCCAGATCTTGCCATAATGCTTCCAGCACCTAAAAAAGTCTTGCCTAGTGAGAGAAAGGATCTGAATTAGGGAAAGAGGAGCACAGAAGGCCTGGGCAGGGCAGGACAGGGCAGGGCTGGGCTGGGCTGGGCCGGGCTGGGTTGGGTGAGACAGTCCCAGCTAATCACATATCATTTTAGCCAGAGAGAAATTAGAACCTTCCCTACATTCCTAGAGTTTGGAATAGAGACATACCAGGAGAGCAAACGCTGGATGACCAGATCCGAGCCTCTTCTACTGTCATGCCGCAGAGGACAGAAGCAAAGTCTTTCTTTTTCTCTGCTCCCTGGGCGCCAGGAACTTACCTTTTCTAACAGTCCCCAATAAGAAGCCCATGTTCAGACACTACTCCCACTACCAAACTTGAACATGCTTCCCTGCCCACCTACCCACCCCCACTTTGTCAAAGCCCCCCTGCCCCCAGAGGTCACAAACATGACTCTTCCCAGGTTCCCTTGGGCTCCCATTTCCCAGAAACCTCATTTCAGGGGTTCTCCCTTACCTTAGATACCTGTAAGGGTTTCCTCTGCTCGGCCCCCCCCTGTAGTCGGAAGCCCCAGGGGGCTCCCCCTGATAGTGTGACCAGCACCTCTTCCTCAGCACCCATCGCTCAGCTTGGCCTATGGCCCCCGCAGTTTGGACAGTATCCCAGGGAGAGAAGTCGAGGTGCTGGTACCCCGTCCGGCCTGCCTGTCCTGCTGTCCTGCTCCTGCGGCCCCAGGCCTCCCCCCCCCCCCCAAACCACACACCGCAGGCGGGCAGCTTGGCCCTGGGATCAGTACAGTCCAGCACATGCGTCCTGTCAATCCAAGCTGTGCTCAAAATAGTTGCCGGCTATACTCCCCTCCCTCCCCCAGCTGTGTTACTCCTAGAGCTAATTATAGTACTGGCGGCTGTCCTCCATGGCCCCCATTCTCCTGATGGCCCTTTTATTCAGGAGTCAAGAGTACTGCATAACTAATATGTACCCTTTCGGGGACCATGTCTTCTCTGATAGGATGATGAACTAACTCAACTGCTATCATTTTAAGGCAGTAGCAGCAGGGGCTTCAGTTCCAGAGCTGTCGAGGAGTGGGTTTGTTCCACAAGCTCCCAGCAGACAGTGCCCCCTTGCTGCATGAATTAACCTGTTAATCTAAATGGAAACCTATAACTCACAGCACTGCTGGGTGTTGTGTGGAGGAATTCTTTTCTTTTAAAAAAGATTTATTGGTGCTGGTGCTTTGGTATTGCCAGTAAAGCTGCCACCTGCATTGCTGACATTCCATATGGGCATGGCTTCCAGTCCCAGCTGCTCCACATCACTCTCTCTCTCTCTCGTTTTAGGATTTATTTATTTATTTGAAAGTCAGAGTTACACAGATAGAAGGAGAGACAGAGAGAGAGAGAGAGGTAGTTCTCCATCTGCTGGTTCACTCCCCAACTGGCTGCAACAGTGGAGCTATGCCAATCTGAAGCAAGGAGCCAGGAGCTTCCTCCGGGTCTTCCCACATGGGTGTAGGGGCCAAGGACTTAGGCCATCTTCTACTGCTTTCCCAGGCCATAGCAGAGAGCTGGATTGGAATGGATGGAAGTGGAGCAGCCAGGACTTGAACCGGTGCCTATATGGAATACCAACACTGCAGGTGGAGGCTTTACCCACTACACCACAGTGCTGGCCCTTGCTCCACTTCTGATAAAGCTCTCTACTAATGTTCCTGGGAAGACAGCAAAAGATGGCCCAAGTCTTTAGGCCCCTGTACTCACATGGGAAACCAGGAAGAAGCTCCTGGCTCCTGGCTTTGGATCGGCTCAACCCCAGCTGTTGCAACAATTTGGGGAGTGAACCAGTGGATGGAAGATTTCTTTCTCCCTCTCTGTGTCCCTTCCTCTCTCTGTATAACTCCAACTTTCAAATAAATAAATAAATAAATAAATTTTTTTAAAAAAGATATATTTTATTTATTTGAAAGGGACAGTTACAGAGACAGAGAGAGAGATCTTCCATCCACTGGTTAAATCCCTAAGGGGCACAGTGGCCAGGACTGGACAGGCTAAAGCCAAGAGCATGGAATTCTATCCAGGTCTCCTATGTGGGTGCAGGAGCCCAAGGAAGGTCATCTTCTGTTGCTTTCTCAGGTGTATTAGCAGGGAGCTGGATCAGAAGTGAGCAGCCAGGACTTGAACCAGCACCCATATGGAATTCTGGTGCTGCAGGCCATGGCCTAACCCATTGTGCTACAATGTTGGCCCCCCTTTTTTTTAATGTTTGTGGGATTTTTGTTTGCTTAAGATTTATTTTATTTATTTGAAAGGCAGAGTTAGAGAGAGAGAGAGAGAGAGAGAGAGAGAAGGAAAGATAGATCTTGAATCTGCTGGTTCACTCCCCAAATGGCCATAACAGCCAGAGCTGGGCCAGGCCAAAGCCAGGAGTCAAGAACTTCCGGATCTCTCATGTGGGCAAAGGGGTCCAAATACTTGGGCCATCTTCTGCTGCTTTCCCAGGTGCATTAGCAGGGAGCTGGATCAGAATTGGAGCAGCCAGGACTTGAACTAGCTCTGATACAGTATGCAAGCACTGCAGGCAGCTGCTTAACCTGTTATGCCACAGTACTGGCCCCTCTTTTTTTAATTAAAGATCTATTTGTTTGTTTTAAAGGCAGAGTGACACAGAGAGAGAGAGAGAGAGAGAGAGAGAGAGAGAGAACTTCTATTTGCTGGTCCATTCCCAAAATGGCTACAATAGCCAGGACTGGGTCAGGCCAAAGCCTGACCATCTGGGCCTCCCACAAGAGTGGCAAGGACAAGCCCTTAGTCCATCTTCTGCTGCTTTCCGAGGCCCATTAGCAGGGAGCTGGATTGGAATCAGAAGAGCTGGAACTTGAACAGCACTCTGATATTGCTGTCTTTTGGTGTAGCAACGGGTGGCTTAACCTGCCGCACCACAAAGCCAGCACCTTGTCTAGAGGAATTCTGATCATCCCTGCCCCAGTTGAATTGTTACCCCTTTCATAAAGTTTTTCCTAACCATCTCCCAACTCTCCACCTATAGAATTAATCCTTCTTTCCTATGGGCAATGTATGTATTTTGTTCATATTTTTACTATTGTCTTTCTCAGTCAATAACGTAGTTGTTTAAATGCATCTTCCCTCAGAAATGCCCCCAGAAAATTGAAGGTCAAGACTGCCAATCAACATACCACAGAGCAATGACTGCTGTAATTTGTG